CTCTCAGAGTTGGTAAGACAACTCCCACCTGTTCATGCTCTCTGTATGTGTGTATATATATCTCCTCAATATATGTTTCACTCTATATGCATCCGAAGAAGTGGGTTGTAGCCCACGAAAGCTTATGCTCTAATAAGTTTGTTAGTCTCTAAGGTGCCGCAAGTACTCCTGGTTTATTCAGGGTACAGCTAGGCTCCACCCCCTCCTCACTCTTGAGACTCTGCTGCCCCCATGTGGCCATGTTCAGTCACTCATTAAAGCGGTCAGACTGTTCAGGGTATGGATGTGTTATTCTTGTCTCACCTATATCACACCTGTCAGATGTGGTTGTTCCTTTTCCCAAAGGGAAACACCCCCCTGAGATCAGGATTCACTCCCCATCTGATGTCACAGCAGGAGTGAATCAGTCATGGGGCTCACCCGGCTTCACATTGTTCCACCATTTCCAGGTGCACATTGGGACTGGAGGCAGCGCCCCCCTGTTGCTAAAATGGTTATTGGTCTGAAATCTCCCCAGGACCCGTCAAAGACAGACACGTACCTGTGTCGCTCCCCAGCTCCAGTCGCAGCATCTCTAGGGGAAGGAGAGGACGGGAGAGGTGAGAATTCAGGGGAGGATTGAGCCCGGGGTCAGTAACATCACCAGAGTCCCCGACTCCTCCCTAGGTCCAGGGCTGCTCTAGCTAGTGGGGAGACAACCCCCAGATTCCAATTCACCTTTGAATTCCAGCAGCATCTGCTGCAGCATGGCGCTTTTCAGAGAGAAATTGCTGAGTCTCTTCTCCAGCTCTGCAAACCCCGGATCTGGCTTCTGAAACATCCCGTCCGCCCTGCTGGGGAAAGGAGGAGGGGTGAGAAATGGGCCCAATCCCCAATCCCTGAGCCCAGCAAGCCCCAAACTCCAGGAAACCTGGACCTGAGCTTTGTAGCCTGAGGTGATCATGGTTATGGTGAGTCACCTGCCCTCAGCCCTGTGCTCTCCACAGATCCACAGAGATGGGACATGAGGAATGGAGACAGGTTCTGGAGCTTTCTCTGGGACACTGGTTCTGTAGGGTGCTGAGCCACCCCCTGCGCTGGGTTACTCCGGTAACAAGGGGCATCAGCACTGGGATTACGGGGAAAGGAAGGAGACATGGACCAAAGAGTGGGCATGTCTCACATGCTCACTGTGGCCCCAGACAGAGCCCAGGTGTTCAGCAGGGAATGAGCCTGGGCCCTTTAATGCCAAAAGCCCATAGCCCTTCAGCTGAAGCTGTAACTCTGGGGTGTCCAACTCATTTGGCAGAGAGGGACGTATTCCACTGTCTGTGACGGTCAGTGGGCCAGGGCATCAATTTTGGACTCCGTACATGGCTCCATTCAGAGCAGGGCACTCAATGCTCTCAGTGGGACACCCAGGCACAGATGTCAAGGGGAGAGTCTGCCCTTTGGAGAGGAAATAAGCTTTTCATTTTTATTAAGTCCTTCATGGTCACAATCAGTGTCACTCCATGGGAAAATAGCCCCCTCCCAAACCTGCTAGGGCTCCTGCTATTTTTGCTCATTCTTTCCTTTCCACCCTCCTTTCTCCAGCTCTTCCTTGTTGTTTAGTCTCCCCGCTGTTCTCCCCTCCCTACAGAAACTCCCTATTCCCACCCCTCAAAGGCTTCACTCCGACCCCCTCCCCGTTCCACCAGTGACCAGCCATGGAATATTGAATGTTGACATTAAAGTGTCGTCACTTCAGCTGACCCTCCAATGAGATGAACGGAGGACAGGGGAGTTCACACCTGGCTGAGCCGTGGCTTCAGGCTGCTGGCAGACACACAAAGACAACAGCGTCCACATCTGCATTTGGGAGGTTTCTTTGCAACAATGAGGCCTAGAAACTTACGAAAAAACTGAAAGCTGAGATTCTGCACAGTGTGAATACGTGAGGTGGCCACATAAATACGTCAGACAGGCCGGGTCTGGCCCATATGTCTGACAGCCCTGGTAGGACCTCATTAGCTGTCAGAGTAACAGGTTTTTCCCCTTGTGAGGCAGCCGCCAGGGGAGACGTGATCACAGGCACCAAGCCAGCGTGTCACACTGCAGGGGCAGGGGAAAGCACCATATTTAGTGCAGTTTCCAAGCACAACTGAGCATGAGGGGGAGTGAAACGGAGCTGGGGACTCACCTGCTCCCAGTGCTCCTGGCACCCTGGAGAGGGAGAGAAAGAAGAGGCAGTCAGGGGAGTGTCCCAGGCAGGGGAGCCACCATTGGCGTTTGGGGCATTTCAGACACTTGGGGTCATGTTCAGAGAGCAGCTGCCGCCCCCCAGGAATCCCTGCTGGGACGTCGCCATTGGGGGAAAGTTTCTGCCCAGGAACTTTACAGGAAGAAAATATTCATCTGCCTTGAGAGTGAAATGCCCACTAGTGCCGAGAGCCCCTACCCCATTAAATCCATTCGCTGTGCAAGCCCCTACCCCATTAAATCCATTCGCTGGGGTGACGAGGGGCCTTAGGCCTGGCTCGGGACCTCGGCATGGCAGGGAGGGGATGTCACCCTCCAGCCCAAATGCAGTTAGACATTGGCAGGGCATTTCCTGTGTGACTTGGTCAGGGCTCTGCCCCTCCCTGTGTGTCACTTTCCCTATTTGTAACATAGGGACAGTGCCCTGACCCCGCTTCGTAAAGTGCTTTGGGGACTAGGGCTCAGAACGGGGTGGGCAATAATTTTCACAGCGGGGCCACTCCATGAATTTTGGTAAGTTGTCATGGGCCGCACATTTCTACTGTATTAATGGAGGGGGTGGGGGGCCTGGGAGTTTGGTGCAGGAGGGAGCTCCGGGCTGGTACAGAGTGTTGGGGTGCAGGAGAGGGTGAGGGGTGTGGGAGGGAGTTTGGGTGCAGGAGGGGGCTCTGGGCTGGGGCAGGGGATTAGGGTACAGGAGGGGGTGCGGGGTCTGGGAGGGAGTTTGGTGCACAAGGGGGCTCTGGGCTGGGGCAGGGGATTAGGGTGCAGGAGGGGGTGTGGGGTCTGGGAGGGAGTTTGGGTGCAGGAGGGGGTTCTGACTTGGGGCAGGAGGTTCTGACCTGGGGCAGGGGGTTGGGGTGCGGGAGAAGGTGCGAGGTACAGGCTGCCTGCCTGCCATGGCCCCACGCCGCTCCCGGAAGCACTGCCCCCGCAGCTACCATTGGCCGGTGCTGGGGGTGGGGGCAGCACACAGAGACATGCCAGCAGCAGCCGGCCACTTCTGGGAGCAGCATGGGGCCACGGCAGGCAGGCAGCCTGCCTGAGTGCCCCGCTGTGCCGTGGGACTTTTAGCGGCCCAGAGATCGTGAGGGGGCAGCCAAAGGGCCTGGCGGGCCAGAGAGAAATGAGAGACGGGCCGGATCTGGCCCACGGGCCGTATTTTGCCCACCCCGGCTCAGAAGCTTCTATAGAAACGCTGCACATTAGGATTGCAATGACAGTCAGACCTGCAGGGGTTGGCTCAGTGGCTGCTGTCCCTTCTCTCCTCCCCTCTCACTGAGCAGGGAAACCTCCCAGGACAGTCTGCAGATGCCCTCATCCCTTCTCTGGACAATGGCTCTCTCTAGCTCTTCCAGCCGGGACAGCAGCCGCTGCTCCTGCTCCTCCAGAAACCCTCGCAGCTCCTGCCACTCCCAGATGATCATCTGCCTCTCGGCTTCCGTCTGTTTCTGCAATCACAGGGAGGGGGCAGTTTGGTAACAGGGGAGAACCATAAATGCACCTCCCAGTGGGTGGGGGAGTTATTTACCAGAGCACAGGATCTCTTGCACTGGGGGATGGGAAGGTTATTTACCCCAGGAAGGGAAGAGGGATCAGGGCTGGGGTGAGCTGTACATCGCTCACAGGGGGGATTTTTCTCCCCAAAACCTCATCAGATTGCCCTGGGCCAAACCCTCCATCTCTGCAGCCCAGAGTTCCTCTCCTTCCCCTCCCCACCCCCATCGCAGCTATCAAGGATCCCCGGTCACTGTAACATGCAGACAGACTGTAGGAGGGTCTCTGGGCTAACACACAGACTGACCCTCTCCTGCCCAGCAGCCTCTTGCACCCTAAGGGCATCATGTCACTCACGTGTTTGACCCTGCCTCCCCCTGGGCTCCAGTGGGGATGGGTCCCCGGCTGAGGCTGGCAGGCCGGGCCTGTCATTCACTGTCACTCAGGGCACTGTGATCCCAGGCAAACCTGAGGGCAGGGGCCCTGGGCACCTACCAGCAGCTCCTCGCTTTGCTGCTGCTCCTCAGCTTTGGCTGCTTCTCTCTCCTTTCTCAGAGGGGCCAGACGCTCTCGTGGGGGCTCCTGGAAGAAGCGGGGGAAGGGTTACAAACTGCTGCAAACGGCCTCACAACTGCTAGATTTCAAGGCCCATCCTGCCCTGCAGATGCCCGAGCAGAGTCCCTGGGACGCACTTCGACTTTTTTCCCCCAGGCCTAGTTCAACCTTAGCCAGGAAGCTCTGAGGAGCTGGTGAAACGGGGACCAGGTTTCCCAGGGAAAACACAGGACCCCTTGGAGAAGTGACCGGCGTGCAGCCCAACCCCCCAGCTCCCAATGTCCCCTGTGCCCACCCACCTCCCAAGCAACCAACTTCCAGCATTGCCCCCAACTTCCCCCTCTCCAACCGTCCTCTGGCCCCACCCACAGCCCTTACCATTAACATCAGTGCCGGATCCGAACATGGACCCCCGCAGCCAAATAGCCCCAATCCCCAGCTCTGCTCCCCTCACAGACACCCCCAAACTGCCAGCTCTGCCCCCCAACACTGACACCCCCAAACTGCCAGCTCTGCCCCCCAACACTGACACCCTCAAACTGCCAGCTCTGCCCCCCAACACTGACACCCCCCAAACTCCCAGCTCCAAACAACCCACGACCCCCAGCCCCAGCCCGGCTCTGATACCGCCATCCCCTTGCTCTGGGGCCCAGCCTGGGCTCCGAGCTATGCAGCCGAGCCGCGCTCCGGGCCCAGCCCCTCCTGGGCTCCGTCGCCCCGGCCCCGCAGCAGGGGCCGCTCCGATCCCCCCGCCCAGGACACTCGCCCCCCAGGCCCCGCAGCCCCTCTCCGGCCGCGGGGAGCTCGGGGACCCACCCGGGCAGGGGGCGAACCAAATAGCCGGGGCCGGCCCTCCCGGCAGGAGCGTATCCGCCCTACGCGTGTCTCCGCCCCCCGCCTGGGCCCTGCCCGCTCCGCGCTGCCCCCGGACCCACCGCGCTGCCCCGCGGGCTGCAGGGCTGGAGCAGCCTCCGCGCTGCGCTCCCGGCCCTGGCCCCGGCCATGGCCCCGCTGCAAAGCGCCGGGAGTGCGCGGGGCCGGGACAGGAAGGGGCGGCCCCGGCCCGGCCCCTCGCGGGGTGTTTGTGACACGCGGGGACTCGGCCTCCCCCTGCTCCGTGCGGGGGGTGTAATTCCTGCCCCCGCTCCTCTGAGCCGGGGGGCGGGGCTAAGAGCCAGTGAACCAAACCATAACCCCTGTGTATGATGGAAACCACGTCCGGGGGGACGCTTCTGGGGAGGCGGGCGGGGCCGGAGGGACTCGCCGGGGGGCGGCGGGCTGGGCTGGGGGGACGCTCCGGGGGAGGCGGGGGCAGCAGGCAGGGCTGGGGGAGAGACCCGGCTCCGAACTTTGGTGGAGCCGGGGACCCCCTGCTCTCATATTGGTGGAGAACGGGCACCATAGGCCCATACAACTCGCCTTCCCTGCCCAGCACCCCTAGTTCCAGCACCTATGCTCTGGGCTTGGCAGCTCAGAGCCCCTGGGGCACCTCTGGGCTTCTGCGTTAGTCAGGAATGTACAAACGTTGCACCTCTTTCGTACAAATTAAGGCCTGTGCCCATTCGCTCCCGCAGCTGGATCAGGCCCGGCACGTGCCCCCAGGGCCCAGCCGCCTGGCTCAGTCTGCGCAGGGCTGCGGGACTCGCAGGGAGTGGGAGGGGCAGCCCCTGCCCAGTGAGCGCTGCCTGGGTGTTGTGGGCACAGGATGGGCTGGGACTGGCAGGTGGGATGGGAAGCAGGGAGAACAAAAATGGGTCAGATGCTGCCCAACTCCTGGGCTCTGTGAATACAAGGGGCTGCTGCCTCAGTGGGCTGGGCTCTGACCGGGAGCTGGGCTGGGTAGCTGCTGCTCCCTCCATGGAGTCTGTGCAGGGGGGAGACCTTCATTAACCACTCCGTGCCATGCAAGGGGGATTTTTTCCACATGGAACTAGCCCCACTAGGGCAGTCCCAGGATCTGCCTACACCAGCCCATGGGCAGGACCAGCATGTCCGTCCGGCTCCTAGGCGTAGGGGCAGCCGTGGGGGCCCCACGCGCTGGCCCTGCCCTGAGCACCGGCTCCACAATTCCTGGCCAATGGGAGCTGCGGAGCCGGTGCGTGGGGCGGGAGCAGCGTGCGGAGCTGGCGCTTGGGGCGGGAGCAGCGTGTGGAGCCCCCATGGCCACCCCTATGCCTAGGAGCTGGAGGGACATGTTGGCCGCTTCCTGGGAGCTGCCTGAGGTAATCGCCCCTCACCTCTTCCTGCACCGCAACCAGTAGCGTAGCTAGCGGGGTGCAGGGGAAGCAGCCACTTCCCCCACCTTTCCAAAAGCGGCTGGAGGAGCGAGGGCGGGCGCAGGCTGGCAGCCCGCAGTGCGGCCGGCAGCCATGGGGGGGCGGCGGGCGCGGCCAGAGGAGCGGGGGGGTCGCGACCGGAGAAGCGGGGAGCACAGCATGCGGCCCACAGCACGGCCAGCAGCCCCGTCTGGAGGAGCGAGGGGGGGCGCAGACTGGCGGCCTGCAGCACGGCTGGAGGAGCGAGGGGGGGGCACGGGGGTGGCACGGCAGGGCTGGAGGAGCCATGGGGGGGAGGGGCGGTGCGGCCGGAGGAGGAGCCAAGGGGAGCGTGGCTAGAGGAGGAGCCAAGGGAGGTTGCCTTTTTTATGTTTGCTCCCTCTCCTCTTAGAAGCTGGCTATGCCACTGACCGCAACTCCCAGCTCTGAGCCCTCTCCCACACCCTGAACCCCTCATCCCCAGCCCCCTCCTCCGCCCCAAACTCCTCATCCCCTGCCCCACCCTGACCCCCCCAGACGGAGCCCTCACCACCTCCCGCACCCTGAACCCCTCATTTCTGGCCCCGCCCAGAGCCCACAGCCGGTGCCCTCACCCCCTCCTGCACCCCATCTCTCTGCCCCAGCCTAGTGAAAATGAGCGACGGAGGGAGGGGGATGGAGTGAGTGGGGGTGGGCCCTCAGGGAAGGGCGGGGCAACGGTGTTCAGTTTTGTGCTATTAGAAAATTGGCAACCCTAGACTTTCTCCAGCTGCAACTAGCCCCCTGGGGCAGCCCCAGGCTCTGCCCACACGAGCTCCTGGGCCAGGGACTCCAGGCAAACGAGAGGGACCTAGGGAAATGCTGGGGAGGGAAATGACTCTCTGCACCGGGGTCCCTGCTCTCTGGTTGTTAAAAGCGATTGGAGCTAGCTAACTATAGTGCAGTCGCTGCTCAAAGCCCCTGCCAGGGTCTGCTCCAGGGGCACAACTGGGGAGGGGTGTCGGGGGGGTCGAGAGCAGGTGTCCCCTGGGTGTGTCTGGGGTGATGAGGTCAGGAAGGGAGGGATGAAAAATGAGCCAGAAAAGGAGGGAGGGAAAGACAGTGTGAAGGAAGTGCTGTGGGGGCAGGGGGGGAACAGGAGATACCAGGGGGTGATGAAATTCTCTCTGGTTTGCCGCTTCCCTGTCAAATCCCCGATCAAATTCTCCCCAGTTCTTCCCTTTACTGCATAACTCTCACATAGGGATGTAAAATGCCCCTAGATTCCCCCTTTCTCTCACGTTACTGGCCCTTTCCCCATTCTCCTCCTCACACATTACCCCATTTCCCTCTGATTTTCAAGTCTCAATTAAAAATCTCACAGTGGGGATATTTTCCCACCCACTTTATCTGTGAGAAATTGTCCTTGATTAGGTGGGAAATCGTTGCCTGGAGTCAGCCCCTAACTGGGCAGGGGGTTAGTGGGTGCAGCTTGGGGGAGCCCTGAGACACGGCTGCCTTGGGGGTGGGAGTTGGGGCCATGTCAGTCCCGGGATATTGGAGAGACAAGGGGGGTGAGGGAATATCTTTTATTGGACCAAATTTTCTCTCTCCCCAACAGAAGTTGGTCCAATAAAAGCTATTACCTCACTCACCTTGTATCGACAGTGGGTGGCTGCCTCTGCATGGGAATGAGGTGTTCATTCCCTGCCACCAACAGGGCCTGGGACAGGCACAGGCAGGGCTTAATTTGAAATGAAAGAGGTGCCGGGGCTCATACAATTTTTTTTTTTTTACTTTCATAATTGACGCACCAAGCCCAGAGCGGCCGTAGCTCTGAGCTGCCAGGCCCAGAGGGGCTCCGAGAAGCTCAGCCCTAGCAAGTCCTGGATACAGGAGGGGATGAGAGAAGCAAGTGTACAATCCTTTCAAACTTTCCCACCTTTCCCTCTAGTTGTTTCATATGGATATAAAATCCCACAGCTCTTGCTTTTCACTCTCTCTCTCATTATCAAATAGTCTTGACCCATTTTCTCACAAATTTTTCAAAGATTGATATAAAATACCCTCAAATTTTGCCCCTTTTTCTCCTGAGTTATCGATTACTATTTTAATATACCCTGAGATTTTCGCTGTCTCTAGTTATAAAATACAACTCTACCCTGATATAACGCTGTCCTCGGGAGCCAAAAAATCTTACCGCGTTATAGGTGAAACCGTGTTATATCTAACTTGCTTTGATCCGCCGGAGTGCGCAGCCCCGCCCTCCTGGAGCACTGCTTTACCGCGTTATATCCGAATTCGTGTTATATCGGGTCGCGTTATATCGGGTTAGAGGTGTATTAACATAAAAACTCCTCTCATTTTGCTCTTTTCTTCAAATTCTGGAATATGGAGAGAACATCCTTGCAAACTGTGTCCCTTGTCTGTCTCTTTATTAAATATTGAGAAACATTAACTGAAAAATGACCGCTATTTATTATTGACTATTGGTATAAAATGTCTCCCACTTTCTCCATTTTCCTCTCTAATTTGCAAAAATTGATCCAACATTCTTCAGATTTCCACCCTTCTCTCTTTAATGACTGAACTTTGGTATCAAGTCTCAGAGTTTGCCTTTTCTGTGTAATGATCAAATGTCAATTACAAATCCTTTCAGCTCAAGGGCTATTCCCTATGTCTTTTAATTACAGCAACTTCTCTTTTTTGGGGGGTAACCGGTTGCCCGGAGTCAGTCTCCATAGTGGAGGTTACAGGGAGTTAAATTCCCAAATGATCAACTTTCCCCTGTTGGTGAGGACTCATTCCTTCCCCCCTTTATCACCATTAAAATGTTTGCTGAAAAAAGAGACTTGCCCCATATTTAATAGACATCAAAGCCAGAGCCCTCCCCCTCTTTGGGGCATCAGTGGCTTCCTGCTGCTAACAAGATAGCTGGCTGAACAATTTTCTTTTCCCCATGGGGCAGGGGAGGAGGGGCTCACTCCCCTCAGTGCTCAATGTCTAAGGAGGTCTGAGAATCACCATACTACTGTATTAACCCCTCACATTCCCATCCCTGATTTCACCAGGAGTCAAACACCGCATGACAGACGCTTTCCAGGAGGGGTTGCGTCATCCAGTGCTGAGACGTAGCCACCTCTGGGGTGGGTCCATGGTGGCCGCTATTTG